CCACACACCCACACACCCACATTCACACACCACACACTCACACACCACACACACACACCACACACACATGCACCCTACACACACAACATTTGCTATCACTTTATGTGCATCTTTAAAAAGAAGAATTAAAAACCGGCCAAACTTGTCAAACCGTCGTCGTAGGTCTGCAGAGTTAGATGGGATGGAGAATGCTCTCACACCCCCTTCCCTGCCTCCTGCACATTGTCCCTCACTTTAGATAGCACATTTGTCACAAACGAGGAGCCTACAGTGACACATCGCAACCACCCAGAGCCCCTCCCGTCCCTGTTCGGTGTCTCATTCATATGGGAGAAAATGCAGGTCCGCATTTCTGTCATTTCCCTTGCAAGGCCAGGCCAACCGGCACTACGTCCTTCAATTTTTATCTATAAAAATAGCCCTCCTTCAATTTTAAAAGATAATTTTACAGAGAATAGGCCCTGAGTGGCCTCCCTCCCGCCTTTATCACCAGATTTCACAGAGTTTTCTCGCCTGCTGGTTCCTGAGAAGCCAGAAGTCGTTCTTATCTTTGCCCCAGCTCTTGGAAGGTGCTTTCTTACTCTGGCTCCTTTGTCTTTAATTTATCTGAAGTTTGAAAGTGACATGTGTAATCCTTAGTCATCTAGGATGTGAAATCAAAACTACTTTGAGATTTCATCTTCTACTGTCAGAATGGCTAAGATCCATGAAATAAACGACAGCTCGTGCTGGTGAGGGTGTGGGGTAGGAGGAACGCTGATCTACTGGTGGGAGCGCACACTTGTTCAGCCACTATGGAAATCAGTCTAACGGTTCTCAGAAGGATGGGGATCGATCTACCTCAAGATCCAGCTAAACCACTCTTGGGCATACACTCAAGGGATGGTTCATTCTATCACAGAGATACTTGCCCACCATGTCCAGTGCAGAGACTCATGATACCCAGAAACTGTAAACAATATAGATGTCCCTCAACAGAAGAATGGATAAATGTGATACATTTACCCAATGGAATCATGAAATTTGTAGGTAAATGAATGGAACTATAAAAAAAAAAATCATCCTGAGTGAGTGACCCAGGAAGACAAATATTATATGAATTTATATATAGATATTGACTGTTAAGTCAATTAAATCAATGAAAACCAAGCTACTGTCCACAGAACCACAGAGATTAGGCATAGAGAGAGGGAGCAGGGAACAGATAGATTTCCCTAAGAGAGGGAAATAGAATAGATAGTTATGAATAGAAGCCAGAGGTGAGGGGTGGGGCTGTAATGGACCCATCAAGCAGGAACGGGAAGGGGAGAGGAGGATGAGGGAGGGAATGCAGGGAAAGACAGCTAAAATTAAGGGCTATTTGAGGAGTAGTATGGAAGCTTAATACAGTAGAAGATTTGTAAAATATAAACATATATGGAGGCAATCTAGGTGAAATCTCCAAATACTAGGGGAGACAGACCCCATTATTGGACATTCTTGTCACCAAATGAAACTTCTAGTATCGGGAATGGGTTATATCTAGTTGAGTTGTGATCAAAGTTCCCCCATGGGAACCCCCAAACAACCCATACTGTTGTCAAGGTTATATATTGTTCTCCACACACTGATAGCAAGGTCCTATTGCTGAAGACAAACACCTGTAGAACTCATTGACCACGGAGAAGTTGAGTTGGTGCCTACCTAGAGCTTTCACCGCTGCACGTTAGTATTCTTGGGGCCAGGAAACAGGGGTGGGGGTGGGGTGAGCTGGTGTTGCAGGGGACTCACTGGGTTGATGTGTGTTCCAGTGCGTGTACTGCATCGGCTCAGGCCTCTGCCCCGCTGTCTTCCAAGTGTACTCTCCTGTGTTGTTTTGGTCCTGAAGAGCTATCCAAAAATAACTGTCTTTTGTTTTTGCCACACTGCTGATGAAACTGTTTATAAAAGCCTGTTCAAACCTTGAAAAAAAAAGAAAGCAAATTGTTATACAAGTTTCTGGATGATATAAAACATCATTAAAACATAATGAAGGGCACAGAATGGAACCGGAGTAAGCGGTTCTTGTTAACACAGCACAAGGAAGTACACAAGGACCCTAGTATTGCTAAAAGATGTTAAATGTCAGTGCAACTTCAGAAATATATGAGAGGAGAGAATGTGATTCCTGAAGACTTAATTATTGTAATTGTCCCAAGGGCCAGAGACCAGGTCTGTCTCTGCTCTGGGGCCAGGCATCTCTAGGAGAAAGATAGCTATTTGATATTTAGGCCGCACACCACACACTTTACCAGCATGAGTGTGGGCTAGAGGGGGCAGAGGGAGGACACTATGCTTCTCTGAATGTGCATTTTCTACCATGGAGTGCACGTGTGCCCTCCCCCTGCACTTGCTTAGGAAGGAAGTAAGTGGAGGAACAATTTTATGCCTCCCAAATCAGTCTGTTCACAGGCACATGGGGTCTTTGTCTTATTCAAATGTGTTCAAACGTGTGTTTTCACTGAAGATAGATTTTAACAAATCCAAGGCATTCCACTCACTAGCATTTTCCCCAAACAGTTGAATGAATTTGCTCCCAGTGATTGTTGGCCATGCTCTCTTTCAACTACAAATATTCCCAAAGCAGATGTAGACAACTTGTGCATACATGCTTATACACACACAAACACATACACACATACACACACACCTCTAACAAAGCACAAGTATCCAACTCAACTAGCATTGAATTAAAGCTTAGTTTGAAACTACTTTTAAAACACAAACTTAATAGGACTTCCAAATGGTGATGACTTCTGGCCATATCTGCTGAGTCAAAGGAAAACATAAGGCCTGGTAAAATTACCCAAAAAACCTCAGGAGAAAGTGCGTTGGACTTTTAACGTTCAATTTGAGATTCTTTTTATTGCATGCATTATTCACTTGCTACAGGGAACCAGCACAATGAGACCATTTGTAAAACAGAGGAGCCGCAAAGGGAATGGGGAGGGAATGATAGAGGAACAAAAGGTGACATTAAGATCCTAAGGGCCTCCCCAGTGAAGCCCTGAGATGCTCCCTGTGGCCGAGCATGCGGGTTTCATCAGACTCTAGAATTAGTTTCTGCAAATGTTCTACCAACAATCAAAATATTACACCTTTAAAACCAGAAAGGTTACTTCTAGCCACACCTCAGAGGCAGAACGTTACAGACGTGTATTTCCGAGGAAGGCACAGAAAGCTAAACATCATCTAGATGCAGTGGGAATTTTTCTTACTCTTTATTGGCTTGTGTGGCTACAGTGGAAGACCTGTTTTACTGATTCCCCTCTGCTCCCTAGGACTGCTGTGCTGCAGGCGGAACACCGCTAGTTAGTATGTTGCTGCTAAGACCAGGGCTGTGGCTGGTTCTTCCATTACTTTATCAAGGACTAGCAAGAAATGACTTTGTATACTTGGCCTTGGGCATCATCATTCATGGCAATAGTGCTTTTGTAACCTGTTGGTTACAGATTTATTCAGTCCACTCTGATTTGCTATTTTATCGCTCTTATTCTCTGAGACGATAGAAACCGACTTATCGATCTTCGTCTATTTTTATGACATGCATATGATATTCAAACATTAACATCTTCAAATAAAAAAAATCACTCAGGTTTCCTTGGTCTAATTTATAAGATGGTACCATTAGTAAAATAACTCAGCAAGTGTGTCTTTATTCTAAGCCAAACATACCCTCCTAGAGCTGTCTGGGAACTCCCCGTACATGATCTGGGGCAAGCTCTTGAGTATCTGTTTCCAGCTGGCAAAGAAGCAGTTTTATATTCTTTATCAGTTTCTGTCTGATTTCAAATTCTGGATGAAAAGCTCTGATTATGATAATACAGATGGTGTCTGTGAAGAGACACCATGGCGAAGGTGTCTCATAAACCAAAGCATTTAATCTGGGCTCATGGTCCAGAGGGTTAGAAGGCATGACCATCACGGTGGGGAGCTTGACAGCAGGCAGGCATGCTGCTAGAGCAGAACCTGAGATCTTACATATGGTGGGAGTGAGAGACAGAGAGACAGAGAGAGACAGAGAGACAGGGAATAATTGGGAACCACAATGGGCTGTTTCAAACTCACAGGCCACCTTCAGGGACACACCTCCTCTAACAAAGTCACACCTCCTCATCCTTCCCAAACAGTTCTCCCAACTGCAAACCAAACATTCAAATATAGGGACCAATAGGGATGATTCTCATTCAAACAGCCGCAGACAGTAACATTTTAAAGGTCTTTCTCACTCTGTGTTTTAGAATCATTTACAGAAGAGTTCAGATTTGTATGTCGCCTGGCCATTTTGTTTGAATTTCATGATGTTAAATGTTATCGTTTAGGAAAGGAATACCATTGTGTATATATAGTTTTATGTTATCCTTTGAATCAGGAGAGGTGGAGAGTATGCTATGTGGAGAGAATTAAGTGAAGTAAAGATTCTATGAAGTTTTAAAGCATTCAGCAAAGTTGCAGGATACAAATCTCACATTAAAAAGAAAGTCTTTCTTATCTTTAACAACACAAAAAGGAAGCTAAGATAAGAAGTCCATTCACCATAATACCAAAAAGAATGAGATACTTAGGAATAAACCCAAATAAGAAACAAAAAGGACTGAATAACAAATTGCAAGATGCTAATTAAAAAATATCAACGATGCCTGGTGGTGGTGCACCTCTTTTTTATTATTTTATTGAGCTCTACATTTTTCTCTGCTCCCCTCCCTGCCTCTCCCCTCTCCTTCAACCCTCTCCCAAGGTTCCCATGCTCCCAATTTACTCAGGAGATCTGTCTTTTTCTACTTCCCATGTAAATTAGATCTATGTAAATCTTTCTTAGGGTCCTCATTGTTGCCTAGGTTCTCTGGGATTGTGAATTGTAGGATGGTTTTCTTTGCTTTATGTTTAAAAACCACTTATGAGTGAGTGCATATGATAATCGTCTTTTTGGGTCTAGGCTACCTCACTCAATATGATGTTTTCTAGCTCCATCCATTTGCCTACAAATTTCAAGATGTCATTGTTTTTTCTGCTGTGCAGTACTCCATTGTGTAAATGTAGGTGGTGCACATCTTTAATCCCAGCACTCAGGAGGCAAAGGCAGGCAGATCTCTGAGTTTAAGGCCAGCCTGGTCTATCAAACGAGTTCCAGGGCAGCTAGGGATACACAGAGAAACCCTGTCTTGAAAAGCAAAGCAAGCAAACAAACAAAATCACAGACAAAAACCTCACAAAGATACAAAATGAAAATGAATGGAAAGACATTCCACATTTATAGCTGAGAAAAGTTACTATTACCACTACCATAGTAGACTATATATTCAATTCAATCACTGAAAATGTCAGCGATCTGCTTTTGCAGGATGCAAAATTAATTATAAAATCTATGGAGAAATTAAAGATCTTGAATTGTCAAAATGACCATGAAAAAAAGAACAAAGTTGGATGTCTCGGATTTTTTTTTTTTTTAATTTCAAAACTTGCATTTCAGGACTATGGTAATCAAAGCAGTGTTATACTGATGTAAGACAGACATACAGACCAGTGGGATAAACTGGAAATAGCCACAAAAATAAAAGCTTGCATATATGATCAAATAATTTCCAACAGATCTACTGAGAACATTGGCCAGTCCTTTCAACAAGTGGTTCTGGGAAACCTGAATATACATTTGCAAAACAGGACCCTTTCCTTATACTGTGTTAAAATATGAACCCAGAGTATACCAAAGATCTAAACGTGAAGCTAAAATTGTTAAATTCTTGGGATAAAACATATGGGGAAGGTTTCATGACATTGAATTTGGTAATGGTTTTCGAATCTGACACCAAAGAACAGGCAATGAAATAACAGACAAATTGGGATTTATCAAAACACAAGCTTTTGGGCATCAAAGATAAAAAGATGCAAAAAGTAAAAAGGCAATCACAAAATGAAGAAATATTTTAAATCATGTATCAGGTATAGCTTTAATAAACAGAATACATCAAGAACTCCTATAATTCAACAGTAAATACCCTAAGATTGAAAAGGGCCAAGGGCTTAAATAGAAGTTTCACTAACAAATATGTACAGTGGCCAAAAAGCACATTAGGAAGTGTCGAACACTGGTAATCACCAAGAGAAATAAAAATAACAATCACTGTTACCATGGAATACTATGGCATACTCGGGAAGCTAGTCTCAAAACAAAACAAAGGAAAGCCAGGATAGAATAAGAAGTAAAGTCTGAATGCGGAGAGACGGGAGTCCTGTGTGTGCTGGTGGGGGCATGACCAATATGTAAAGCAATTTCACAGCTCCTCAACAGGAGTTATTAAAGATGAAATCATCACGTGATTCAACAATCTCCCTTCTGAGTATATCCTTGAAGGATTGAAACCAAGGACTTAAATTTGCATATTCATTTAAAGTAGCATGTTCCCAGTAGTCGGAGGATGGAAGCAACCCAAATATCTACTGACAGGTAAGTTGGAAAACACGAAGCGTGTACAAACGATAGGATATTAACCAGGCTTATAAAGGAGGGAAAGTCTGGCAGTGGATGCACTGCACTAAGTGAAAGGAGCCAGCTACAGCGACACACATAGAAGACGGTCCTGTTTATATCTGGTCCCTTAAATAGTCAAAGTTCTAGAGAATAAAAACAGAAAGCTGCTCATCAGGAGGTGGGGTGTGTGTGTGTGTGTGTGTGTGTGTGTGTGTGTGTGTGTGTGGAGAATTTCTGAATCAGTACGGAATTTTCAGTATGAGAAGAAGAACCATGTTCCAGAGATAGATGGCGCTGGCGGAGGCACAGCAGTGTGAATGCATTTAAGACCACTGATGCTCTCTTAAAGTGGTGACAGTGGCACATTTTATTTCATGATTATTTTACCATATTAATTCAAATTGCATTTAGGGGAAAATGGCTTTTCTAAACAGGACACTGAGAGAGATACGGCATTGTATGTCTTTTTGGGCAAATTTACAAAATCAAGTGGCACTGGTGTTATTTTGTACAAAACTTTTCATGGCTGATTGACTCATGGTTCATTGACTTCGTTATTGAGCGTATAGACAGCACTCTGTGGTATCATTGTAATTCAGTTTTTGCATCCTGCTATCTGGAAGCAAAGGGCCAGTCCAGAAGAAGTTTTTCTTTCTTCCTTCTTTAAACAGTAATCCAGTAAATCAAAATCTGTTACTCAGAAAGGGGGCTCTGCTCTTCTCCCCTCTCTATCCCACAGTGCCATTAAAAAGTCCTAAACCAGAAGTAGTCGCCTTAAAACAAAAGAAATGTGTAATTTGCAGCAGGTGGTTTTAATTGCACCCATCAAACCTGCCACTCTGTTGTGCAGACAGTGGAAAAACCAATTAACAAGTAACTACCAGCCTAGGTGCTCAGAGTGACAGGAGGGTCCGTAACGCAAACAAAAAATCGGTAATGGAAGCAGATGATCCCTAAGCCTGTTAGTGGGTCTCCCGGGTTTGAGAAGACCCCCTTTGCAGGGGTTCACTCTCTTGATATCTACTCATAATAGTACTCGAAGTTCTAGATAAAACAATAAGACAACAAAAGGAGATCAAGGGGATATAAATTGGAGAAGTCAAAGTATTGCTATTTGTAGCTGACATGATGGTATCCATAAGCCATCCCAGATATTCTACCATGGGACTCCTACAGCTGATAAACATCTTTGGCAAAGTGGTTGGATACAAGATTAACTAAAAAAAAAATCAGTAGCCCTCTTACAAGTGATAAAAGAACTGAGAAATAAATCAGGGAAACAACCCCCTTCACTATAGCCACATATAATATAAAATATCTTGGTGTAACTCTAGCCAAGCAAGTGGAAGACCTGTATAACAAGAACTTCAAGTCTTTGAAGAAAGAAATTGGAGAAGCTACCAGAAGATGCAAAACTCTCCCATGATCATGAATCAGTAGGGTTAACACAGTAAAAATGACCATTGTACCAAACCAATCTACAGATTCAATGCAATTCCCATCAAGATTCCCACACAAGTCTTTACAGACCTTGAAAGAACAATACTCAACTTCATATGTAAAAACAAAATCCCCATGATCACTAACATTCGTGTACAATAAAAGAACTGTGGGAGGCATCACCACCCCTGATCTCAAACTCTACTACAGAGCTGTAGTAATAAAAACAGCCTGGCATTGACATAAAAACAGACAATTGATCATTGGGATGAATAAAAAAGACGTAAATCCACACATGTATGGACACTTGGTTTTTGACAAAGAAGCCAAAATTGTACAATGGAGAAAAGAAAGCATCTTCAACAAACGGTGCTGGCGCAACTGGATGTTGGCACGTAGGAAACAGATCCATATATATCATTCTGCACAAAACTCAAGTCCAAGTGGATCAAAACCTCAACATACTAGGTATACTGAACCTGATAGGAGAGAAAGTGGGAAGTAGCCTTGAACGCATTGGCTCAGGAGACTATTTCCTGAATATAACATCGGCAGTGCAGACACTTAGATTGACAATTAATAACGAGACCCACGAAACTGAAAAGCTTCTATAAAGCAAAGGGTGCTGTCAATAGGACAAAACGGCAGCCTACAGAATGGGAAAAGATTTTCACCAACCCCATATCCTACAGAAGGCTGATTTCCAAAATACATAAAGAACTTAAGAAACTTGGCATCAAAAAAACCGAGTAATCCAATTTAAAAATGGGGTACAGAACTAAACAGAGAATTCTCAACAGAAGACTCAAATGGCAGAGAAATGCTCTAAAAAGTGCTCAACATCCTTAGCCATCATGAAAATACAAATCAAAATGACTCTGAGATTCTATCTTACACCTGTCAGAGTGGCTAAGATCAAAAGCACAAACAACAGCTTGTGCTAAAGAGGATGTGGGGTAAAGGTAACATTCCTTTATTGGTGGTAGGAGCGCAAACTTGTAAGGCCACTTTGGAAATCAATATGGTGGTTTCTCAGAAAATTGAGAATCAATTTCAAGATCAAGTAATACTACTCCTGGGCATATACACAAAGGATGCTCAATTATACTACAAACACACTTGCTCAGTTATGTACATAGCAGCTGTTTTTGTTTTTGTTCTTGTTTTTTGAGAGAGGGTTTCCTCTGTAGCTTTGGAACCTGTCCTGGAACTAGCTTTTGTAGACCAGGCTGGCCTTGAACTCACAGAGATCCGCCTCTCTCTGCCTCCCACAATCTGGGATTAAAGGTGTGTACCACTGTCACCCTGCATAACAGCTTTATTTGTAATAGTCAGAAACTGGAAACAACCTAGATGCCCCTCAACCTAAGAACAGATAAAGAAAATTTGGTACCTATGCACAATGGAGTATTAATCAGCTGTTAAAAACAATGACATCAGGAAATTTGAAGGCAAGCGGTTAGAACTAGAAAAAAATCATCCTGAGTGAGGTGACCCAGACCCAGAAAGACACACATAATACACACCCACTCATAATTGGATATTAACTGTATGGTGAAGGATAACCATGCTATAATCCACAGACTCAGAAAGGCTAGGTAACAAGGAGGGTCTAAGGTGGGATGCATGGATCTCCTTGGAACAGGGAAATAGAGAAGATCTTCCCAGTGGACTAGGGGAGGGTGGGGATGGAAGGGAATCGGATTGGGGGTGGGTGGAGAGGTTGAGTGCTGAAAGAGATGACTGGAAAAGGGGGCTAAGAGCTCTTCAGGGACATGCAGAAACCTGATACAAGGGAAACTTCCACGAACCTACAAGGGTGGCCCCAACTAAGACTCCAAGCAATAGCGGCTATGTAACCTGCATTGTCCATCTCCTGTGATCAGATTGGTGACTACCCCAATTGTCTTTAAAAAGGGCCTTCATTCAGTAACTGAGCGAAGTAGAGGCACTGACCCACAGTCAGACATTAGGCCTAGCTCAGGGAACCCTGCTGAAGAGAAGGTGAAAGGATTGTAGGAGCCAAAGGGGTCAAGGGCATCACAAGAAAGCCCACAGAAACAACCATCTGGCTCATAGGAAGTCACAGAGTCTGAATCAACAACCAGGGAGGCTGCGTGGGACCAACCTAAGCCCTCTACACATATTTGACAGTTGTGTAGCTTGGTCTATTTGTGGGACTCCTACCAATGGGAGCAGGGGCTGTCCCTAGTGATTTAGCTGGCTCTTGGAAACCTAGTCCTCCCACACAATTGCCTTTCCCAGCCTAAACACAAAGGAATGTGTTTAGTCTTAATGCAACTTGATATACCATGCTTTGTTGATACCCATGGGAGGCCTGCCCTTTTCTGGACAGAAAGAGAAAAGGAATTGATGCTGGTTTGGGGGCAGTACATGAAAGGGAGGGGAGGGGAGGTAATGGGAAGAGAGGAGAGAGGGGAAAGAAATAAATAATTTAAAAGAGAAAGAAAGCAAGCAAGTTGAGCAAGCCACGAGGAGAAAGCCAGTAAGCAGCTTTCGTCCATGGCTGCTGCATCAGCTCCTGCCTCCAGGTTTCCCAGTTGGTTTGAGTTCCTGTCCTGACTTCCTTCAGTGATGAACTTCAACGTGGAAGTGTAAGCCACATAAACCCTTTCCTCCCCAAGCTGCTTTTGGTCCTGTTGTTTCGTCACAGCAATAGTAACCCTAACTAAGACATGGCTGAGATTAAAGTAAAACAAAACACCAAACGTGATGCTCTGCTTTGGAGTCTAACTACTCCTAAGGGTTAGCTGCTAAATATAGTTTGTTAAAGCAACAAACAGACAAAAAAAATTTATAGTATCTTCTTGTATCCAGTGTGGAGGAAATGAAGCATTCTGTCCTCAGAAACTAACAGTTGCATGAGGTCCCAAAGGTAGACTATGAGGGATTTGCACCTTAGCAGATCTGTGCCTCGGTTTGGGTCCCATTGGCACTGCGAGCAACCTGCAGGGCTACTTTGGCCTTGCCCAATTCTGTTACTCCTCTTGCTGCACTTGTTCCACTTATGTAAGGTTCTACGTCTTCAGTTCTGTGTCACAAAAGGTACAGTCACGCCACCTTTATTTCTTTAAAAAGCATGTCGGTGTTAAATACGATATCCTCCCTAACATTGGTGGTTAATAAGTAATTTTCTAATAAAAATGGACTTGATTATAATTTTTTTGGCATGGTCAGATAATGTGTGAGAAGTAATTACCACTGTGGGCATGTGGCAGGGTGAGTGCCCTCTGCCAGCCAAGCCTCTGCCAAGCACTGTTCAAAGACACTGTCTCCTCATTACAAACAGAAGACAAAGCCCAAATATAGCTGTCTGTAATAACAAAGCTGGAGAAGCTACAGATGTCTCGGACAGTAAGGGCCACCTGAAGTTTTGCCATTTGTCATTTAAAAATCAAGCTAGAAACAGCACCAGATTTTAATTCACCTCAATAAATACTCAATCACTTCCTCTTCTACTATGAACCCACTTTCCATGTAGACAGGCTCTGCTGACAGACTCTTGTCCTTACAAAGCCCCTGGCAGAGCAGTCAGGTCAGAGAGTTTGCACTCACCTGCTGGTAACGGTCAGGAGGGCAGGATGGCAATGATACCCATTGGACGCCTCCTCAAAGTTTCTCAGGACGGTGTCGATTTTGTAACAAAATTTGCCATGCCTCTCCCACCCCTTAAAGAAAGAAAAAGAGGACATGACCTGGTTTAGTTAAGGCCAAGAGAGCCCTCCCCTCCCTGCACCGCTTTCTCTTCTGACTCGATGAAATTCTTCTTCTTTTCCTGTCACTCAGGTCCTGAACTCAGGACCTTTGGAAGAGCAGGCAGTGCTCTTAACCTCTGAGCCATCTCTCCAGCGCCCGATTTCTTTTTTTATGTTTCAAAAAATGCAACCAACTTCAAAACTTAAACACAACTGAAAAAAGGGGGAAGACACTAAAAAAAAAAAAAAACAGAACAAAACGAAACAGGCGGGATACTCACTCAAGAGCTACCCTTCTCTCCCTTCTTCAAACTCACAGAGTTCCTTTCAAAGGGCTGCGACGTTTGGGTAAAAATAGAGTATTGGCCATGGAGGGAGGACACTCATTTGTTTGAATTCTGACTTCCTCACTAAGCCACTTTATTTTTTAAGTGATGAATGCATTATTTAAGAAACATAAGAAACGTAATTTAAGAAACATAATATAAGAAATTACAATTTTAAGAAATATTAGCAACATAATATAAGAAATTATTGTTTTAAGAAATAGAAGAAACACAATCTCTCCACATCTAGTTCTGCCATCTGCGAAGTGGGGATAAGAGTAGTGTTCATGGCTTCCCAGAGATCAAAGGAGAAAAATGAGGGAAAGACCTTGAGTAGAGACAGCAAACTTGGAGGTACAGCCAAGCCAGGTCTAGGTAGTGGGGAGCATTAGGGAATTTTCAGTTTGATTTCGCATCCGCTGTGTGGTTCTTAGGGACTTAAGTAGAGTTACTAACCAGTGAATCGGCTGGGCACATCCTGAAGCTTTCTGGTGTCCCCCAGGTGCTATCTGATTAGTAAGGGAAAAGTCCCACCCAGAAGGGATCCCCGATAATCCACGGCGGGCACATTCTTCTAGCTCTGTAGTCCGGGTACCCAGTTGCCCTGTTCGCCATGCTTACCTCTGGACATTCTGATTCGTCATCATCAAGGACTTGTCCTGCTCTTTTACAAACGGAAGAGAGTCTTTCTTGGCAGCCTTTTACTTTCCAGAGTCCCTCCTAAAGGGAAAAGAGTCACAGGATGAGCGAGAGGGTTCCGAGGATGCTGTTGGGTCGCAGTGTTAGTCAGGAGCCAGGCTGCGACTAGCAAGCGCTCTCAGTGGGGTGGTCGTCCAGAACCCTGCCTGATCCATCACTCAGTAGCCTGGTGACAGCTCTGCCTGTGGCAGTGCGAACGCGGTCCAGAGCTGGGTGGACCTGAGCGAGGAGGAATTTGGTTGCTGCTAGACATTCCTGGAAGCTACCACCAAAATTCATTCCAAAATTCCAAAATGCGGGGCCAAAATTCATGTTCGACTCCAACGTCTTTCCTTACTCAGCTTTCTCTTTAATTCATCAAATGTATTTAGTTTTTGAGAGTGGGTCTCGCTATGCAGTTACAGACTACAATTGCTTCAGTCCAGTAATCTTTCTGTTTTGGCTTCCCAAGTACTAGGGCCAGAATTACAGACATACCAGGGCCCAACTAGTTTCTTCCCTCCCTCCCTCCCTCCCTCCCTCCCTCCCTCCCTCCCTCCCCCCTTTTCCCCATCTCTTTCTCTCCCTCATTCCTTCTTTTCTTTCTTGTTTGATATGTGTGTGGTGAACATACATGTGTTGGGGGGAGGTGAATGTGCACGTGTGTGTGTGTGTGTGCGCGCATGTGTGTGTGTAAACCAGAAGTTGACAGAGTGTCATTCTCAATTGTTTTCCACCTTATTCTTTTTTAAACCATTTTTCTCTTTTTTCTTTTTTTTCTTGATTTTTATTGAGCTCTACATTTTTTCTGCTCCCTTCCCTGCCTCTCCCCTCCCCCTACAACCCTCCCCCAAGGTCCCCATGCTCCCAAGTTACTCAGGAGATCTTGTCTTTTTCTACTTTCTACTTCCCATGTAGATTAGATCTATTTATGTCTCAGAGTCCTCACTGTTGTCTAGGTTCTCTGGGATTGTGATTTGTAGACTGGTTTTCTTTGCTTTATGTTTAAAAACCACCTATGAGTGAGTACATGTGATAATTGTCTTTCTGTGTCTGGGTTGCCTCACTCAAAATAATGTTTTCTAGTGTAAAGAGGCTGAATATGGTCAAAGTGTGTGCTACACTTGGACAAACATGTCACTGTAACCCCATTACTGTGTACAATGAATATACACTAATTAAAACAATCCCTATCCAAATGTTAGCTTTTGTTCTATAAATATGGTAAGTGAAACAATCACACCAGGCAATAGGAAATGAAGGTCATCTTAACTATATATAAAACCAGTGATTCAAAAAACCATCAGCTCCTGAAACTGCGCTGGGTTTCAGCAGAGCTAGATTCACAACAGACATCTAAAGAGATCACTGTGGCTTCCTCCCTGAATGCCACTCAGACACACATTGGTAGCATGTATAATTATGAATGCGCATGTTTCTGCGAGTCTCAAAAGTAAGTGCTTTGAAATTTTTTCATGTTTGGTTGGCACAATTACTTTGTCAAGCTACTTAAGTAGCATTTAATGAGCTGTTTCTTGGGGGTGCTCGACACAACATCCTGTGCTTAGAAAGAATGAAGACCCCTCGCAAGCCCTCCAGCCCCCCTTAAACTCAGCCAGTGCTCCACAGCTGTTTGAGCAGAGAGGGGATATTTGCTTAAAATGTCTAATAAACATTCAGATGGCTTGGACTTAAGACTAATTCTGCATAATCTGATGCCTCAGAGAAGTGGGAGACGGCAGCCGGAGAATGTGCATAACACTAACGTCACTGGCTCCACCCATTCGTGTGAGAGCGAGATCTGCCACCGATCCACGGTCTTCTAAAAGGTTCCACATCCTGCACAATCGTTTGCATTTTACAAAGCTAACGGAGCTTCAAAACTCTCACTCTCCAGTGTCCTCCAGCCTTCATCGTCCCTCGCTCTGCACCAGGATGGTCGGCCCCACCACTGTCTACCAAAATGGTGTTTGTTCAAGTAAAACAACAACAACAACAAAAGACCTGCATCTGAGTCTCCTCCTCTAATTTAGCTAACAATGAATCTTGTTATTTGAAACATCTGATCCTCTTCTATCTCCTCTCCTCTCCTCTCCTCTCCTCTCCTCTCCTCTCCTCTCCTCTCCTCTGCACAGCCTCCACCCTAGGCTACCCATGGAACAGCCACCCAATTGTTTCTCTGCTATTCTGTCCCCTCCAAACCATTCTGTATGCTATGACCACAGTTATTTTCCAAGTCATGTTTTCCCTCTGTTGCCCTTGGAGTACTCTGATGGCTCCTGTACCTTGGTTCACCAGCCAGGAATTTTGTATTCCCTTGTCCCTTCTATCATCTCCTTACTACCCCGTCATCTGTTTGGCTATTGACGAGGGGCAAGCCTTTGTCTACCTTTGTGTCTTTCTGAGAACCATTTTTGTCTGTTGTGTAAGGGCTTTTTTTTTTTTTTTGAAGTCACAGCTTAAACATCTTCTGTTCAAAAAGCCATCCCCCACATGTCCTGTCTGAAGCACCTGCTCTAATCCAAGCTTTGCCCCTCTTTCCTCAGAGTAACAACCTTAGCCTTACCGTGTGTAAGGTAGCCCCGTGAGGAGCAGGCACTGCCTCTCTCCGTCTCTATTATGACACAAGATCCTGGCCTGTGTGGTTCTCAGTGTCAGAGCCACAAAACGGATCAAATGAACCAACTTACAGCTTGCTCTGCTGAGACGCACAGTTGGCTTCTCTTGGGAAAAATCCGAGGCTCAAGAGGGTGCCAGTTAGTTAAGACGACAGAGGAGCCAGTGGACCATCTAAAGGAGGCTGGAGTTCTATTGCTACTCAAACCAATCCATGTTTCTGATGCATTTCCTGTAAGAAATAAATGTAAATTATTTGTAAGGTATTCTATGTATATTTTTATGACACACTAAGCTATCAGTAAGATATACCCTTTCACGTGTGATAAATCTTGTTTGAATCACATTATGATAAACCTCTCTAGGCCTCTTTCCCCACTAATATCCAGGTTTGCTCAATTTAGGCCTTCCAACGTTAGCTAAAGCCAAAGCAAGCACTGGCCAGAGCAAGTACGGGACTCTAGCTCCTTCTCTATGTTCAAAGTGACCTAAAATGTCTAGTTTTGTGCCTTCAGAAAAGGAAAAATGAAGAGGTTAATTGGATTTTGAAAGGGGAACATTAAAAACATCAACAGAACTCTTCACTGTAGTGTAACATGAACGTTTTTTCTGCTCTCCTTCCACCTCAGCCCAGCACAATAAAACAAGCAGAAACTCTCCTAGACGTTAACACAGAACAGTGGGTTGCTGGAAAAGCAAATGAAGCCTCACAGCCGGGAAGCAGTGAGAAAAGCTAGGTAGCAGAGAGATGCTCAAGTGTCCTTGTTGATACAGGGGACACTGCAGGATTCTTTTAATCCCAAATGCAAAGGATTAGGGGAAAGCACATAGAAGTATTTGTGTTTGCAAACTAAAACCTAACATCTCAAAGGTCACCACATAGAGCTGAGGGATTTTTTTTTGTTTTTTGTTTTTTGTTTTTGTTTTGCTTTTAAACACTGAAAAATGAAATCAATAATGTCTAGGATTTTTAGGAAGACTTCATGGCTAATGTATGTCATGGGACAAGGGTGGGTGGGGCCTGGCTTGCTCTGAAGAATTGAAGATGGGAGGCCCAGAAGCCTAGAACCTCTGAGTACGACACACAGCCTGAAAAACACCAAGCCAAAAGAAGTTACTTAAATTATTTACTGAAGTAATTCCCTTTATGAGAGCATAGCACACTGTGGCTAGCCAGTGGCCATAAAGCTAATTTACAGCTTTAGAGTTTGCATAGAAAATCTTAGGATTGACTTTTTTCTTTTCTTTGATGTCCTTAATATTCTTCTCTTTTCTTTCCTTTCCTTTTTTCCCTCTTCCTTTCCCTTCCTCTTCCTTCTTCCTTCCCTCCCTTCCTCCCTCTCTTCCTTTCTTTTTTCTGTTTATTTGGAGACAGGGTTTCCCTGTGTGTATCGCTGCCTGTCCTGAAACTCACTTTGTAGACCAGGCTGGCCTTGAACTCACAGAGATCCTCCTGTCTCTGCCTCCTGAGTGCTGGGATTAAAGGATGAGCCATCGCCATCTGGCAAGGAATGACTTGTATGACATCTACTTCTTAAGATTTTTTTAAATTTAAATTTTTAATTGTTTTGAGACTTTAATGTGTGGGCACTATGTTTACATAACTTCTACCCCCTCCTCTCCTTCTCCATCCTGTGTCCCACTGCACCCCTTCTCAAACTCATGATCCCTTCTTCTTTAATTATTTTGCTACACATATATGCACATAATCTATTGTCTAGTTAGTGTTGCTCGCATGTATGTGTGTTTAGGGCTGACTACTTGGGATTGAATAACCTATCAGGGGGCTCGTCCCCAGAGAGAACTGGCTCTTCCTTTCTCTGTAGCTTAATTGGCTGTAAGTCTTCTTCTAGGGGTAGGGTCCCGTGAGATTTCCCTCATCTACATTGGCACGTCATGGGCGCTGTCATTACTCAGGTCTTGTTTAGTCAATTGTATTGTTAGGATTTCATGGGTGCCACTTCCCTATTATGTCTAGAAGATGCTACCTCACACCAGGCTTCCTGGTCATCTGGCTCTCACAATATTTCTCTGTATGGGTTGTATGGCACAGCCATATCTGATGGGAACAGCAAAAGTCATAAAGCCAGCACAGTTGATGGACAACCATCCAGCAAAGCCGAGCCGCATGATAGCTACTGTGGCACCTTTGGTTTTTATCTCTACCTGTTGCAACCTGGGGAGACTTTTAATATTTGCACAATTTGGGGATATTGGATTGGTGGAAAAATTTCTTGTGAATCATTTATGCCTCCTCCTAGGAATGCTGCTTCTAAGCTTCCCCCAGACAGTCCCGAACATACTATTACCCTGAGAACAGGCTGCCATATGCCTCTAGATTCTTAAAACCTGGGTCATGGCGTTAACGAGTAAGAATGATTATAAAAGATAACCCCGTCTATCAATGATTACCAATGTTTATCAGTGATGACAAAACTTGAGGGAAAATGATTGGCAATGATAACTCTGCTCTGTCATAGTTTATTCATGATGACTAACAGATGAGCAAAAGTGAAATACATGTCCAAAGCCAAAAGTGATGTGATCTCTGTTTCGGAACAACATGAATGTATTCCTGCTTACTAAATTCTGTATAAATTAAGAAGCACTCTGGCTGCCAGTCAGTCAGGGTGCAAGATTCTCCTGCCCATCATAGCCTGGCTCCCTCCCTCCCTCGTCCACTCCTTACATCCCCTGCTGGGACCTGCATCTTCACTAGGGATGTGCATTCTCCCCGTCCATCTCTCCTAAAATGAAATTAAGAAGTGTCCCGTGTTTGAATCCTCCCATCACTGCTCTTACATCCATCCATCTTCAGACCCTGCCCTCATCTGGAGCTGGACTCCGGCAGTTGTATGTGCACCAATGGGAGTAGGACCCTGCCCCCATGGTCAGTTGTTACCTCTTAAGATTTAAAAAAATGTATCTAATTTATTTGGCAAATGTGAGAACTTCACTTAGCTTCTGAATATGACTTGTGGATTTCTGGATTTTTTTAGAAATTCTGAATATCTATTTATGAATATATATTCCATATCTACTCATATATATACTATATACACACCATAAATATATAATATATATACCATATACACACCATAAATATATAATATACATACTACATACACACCATAAATATATAATATATATACTACATACACACCATAAATATATAATATATATACTACATACACACCATAAATA